TCTATCTATCTATCTATCTATCTATCTATCTATCTATCTATCTATCTATCTATCTATCTATCTATCTATCTATCTATCTATCTATCTATCTATCTCGTTGAATTTGAATTTATTTGCAACAGCCACACTCGTCCCATTTATCAGGCCAGTGGGCAATGTGGTCACTGTGAATGTCATCTCAGATTCCAATTCTCTTGGGCGGTGGTGGAGTTGGAGATGATGCCTGAAAGCTACTTTGCTTCGTTAGCTTTTTGACACCTAGCAGTTTGCAGTCACAGCAGTAGAGCAGCCATGCATTGACCAGGCCAATTAGGATAGAGGTACCACCTCTCCATGATGCCATATTGTATTTGCATCTTGAGACAGGAGTTGCATGCGGAATGCTATTTATACAACCATTCCTTTATGGTTGCAGTCTCTATTGGAGTGATAGATCGAGATACTAAAGGATTTGTTACACATTTACAGTTTACAATAAATTCAGTAGGAATTTTATAACTCTTCAAATCTTAAAAAAAAAAAGCTAAAAATAATACAATTGGGAAAAGTTGCTATTTTTAATTGTGTATATAGGGTTTTCTCTTACCCAGAAAAGCAGATGGCGACACCGTTCCATTACTTCTGGCCACCATTACGCTGATCCCTGTCTCCACGAAAGGTACAGAGAAGTCAATGATCTCAGAGCGTTCTTCATTGATGGTTAGGGAACCAATCGCCATGTCTGCCCGCTTGTAAACGACCTGTGGTGAGAGAAAAAGAGTTGTAAATGAGCAAACTACTGCTTTGTCAACGGTCTGGAAGGTTTCAACAGTTGGCTAAACTTTCGAAAAATCTCGGACTTAGTTGTACTGATGTCTCCGGGGGTGCGGGGGGGCACAGCAACTAAGGGGGCTCCTGTGGTTGATATGTGTTGCTAATAGACTTCTAAACAAAGCTTTGTCGAGTAGGGTGTATTTAGTTCATATTTCATTTTTTGGCTAATCTTAGCTTTTCTATGAGTAAAGATCTTTCTGTTGCTGACGAAAGCGACCTAACAACACATGTTGTTAAAAGCCCCCTGTATTTGTAAATGTATCTGCCCTTTAAATCCTTTAGCTCTTTTTGAGCTCACATTTAGTTATTTTTGACCTGTGACTAGTTATTTACAGTATACATTATATCTTTCACTTTTATATCATGTTTATGTCAATTTAGTTCATATTTTATTTTTTGGCTAATCTTAGCTTTTCTATGACGTTTTTACCCACAGTAGTTTATTTGGCTGGTGTCATTACTAAGCTAGTCTCCTTAAACTAGTTTTAGGTTCTTTTGGCCACATTAACTTACCAACTTTGAACCTTTGAAATGAAAACGTTTTGATACGGAATGGAATATTGGTCAAATTCTAAAACCTTACTTTGAATTCTACAAATATATATAAAATCCCCATAGACGTTTAACAGCAAAGATGCATTTTCAAAGGGCAAATGGTTAATTCTGTCTCGGAATTCCGACTTGTTGGAAACTTCCTACCTCTCCGATCATCCCATTCCAAATTCCTCGCACCAGTTTGCCATGTTTTCCGTTGGTGACCAGGTAGAGATCATATGAGAACTTGATGGTACGGGAAAGTTTCTTCAAGATGTCAATGCAAAAACCTTTGCAGCACAGTTTGGTGTATGGCTCCGTGTGACCCACAATCCTGAGAAAAAAGAGATATAATTTGAACAATAATCATTTTTGACTCGCGGGCCACAATTGTCCTAAAATTGAACAGTGGGGTCAGGTCAGGAGCAGAAAGAGGGAGCGTTTTTGTGTGAACTAAGATAAATGACATGTAAAAGTCATGCATAAAGGCTAAAATGCTACGATGCTTTTAGCATTTTAGCTTTTAGCAAGCGGAACGGGCCCATACAAAAAAGCCAATCAAATCAACAGGACCTCAATAAAAAAATGTCATGTACAGTATACACAATGTATTGGATATTTGGTGCAGTATTCGCAGCATATTATTGGCCTCATTGGACTGAATAAGAAATCAACAGCAGGTCCAGACAGTATCAGGAAATGTGGCTGGAAAAGGCTAGGCTAGAGAACAACACCCTAGTTGTTCTCATCATCGTGGCTCAAAAGAGGAAACATCCTAATCATTACTTATTAATGTTCAGGGAGGCAGTGTTGACAAAGTTAGAAAATTCAAATTTTGACAAACAGTAATTTTATCAAAGAAAAAAATCAATATTTTTAGCTGAATATTTTTAGGATGCTTAGACAGAGATGGCAAAACGTTTATCAAAATGACAACAAATAAACTGAGAAGTGAACTAAAAATAAATAAACCCAAATAAACTTAAATGTTTGTAGAGAAAAAAAAAGCCAATAGAAACTAAAATGCAAAAATTTAAAAACCTTTAAACTCGTGGTTTTTAAACTCGCATTTGGAGGAACCAACACAGACACTGAGGGGTACATTTTTTTTCTGCTGGTGTTAAGTTCAAATTATTTCTTTAGGGTTACATCATATATTTTGGAAGAACAACAGTGATATTAAGTCATGTAGAACCTCTGGATGTAAAGTTTAGGGATTAGGTGGGATTAGGTGCAACAGTTGCCCGGAAAGAATACTAAAGATGGGATCGTTGCTGATAGAGAAGTTCAGGGCATTGTGCCGTTTGGCTCTAGAGAGAGCGTAAGGTCTTGCAGAGCAGAAATAGTCAAAACATCCTGACTCAACAGTATCAACCAAATTGTAGACAATACATTACTAAACATTTAAAAAGTTCTCAAACACATGTGGAGGTGCTCATTGGTGAGCCTGGAATGATTTTTAGTTTTGATTTGATTTCTTTCCCAGTATCCTCCCAGTATGAGTTACCGGTCCTATCAAAATGTTTCCTTAAATTCCCCAATTATTTAAGTTTCCCAAAAAAACTTTAAGAGTTTTTGAACTGCAGGGTAAGTGTGTCCAGTCTCCCTCTAAGTCTCATGTTTCCTCTGAAAGCATTGCCCAGCTGTCATCAGTTCACAAATTGAACTGTCCTTGTAATGTACTCTCAGTAAATCCAGTTTATTTAATTATGGAGTAGTGTCAACATAGATCATCTTTTCTAATTTTCTCAAATGATATATCAGCGAGGACCTCACCTGGACTAATTAAATATGGCAGTCACCAGCTCCATTACAGTGTGGTATGGGAACCCTGTGCAAAATGCGAAGGATGACGGAGGAGGGTTAAGAAAAAAATATAGCCTATAACCTTAGCTGAATGTTCACTAATAAAGAGCCAAAAAAAATAAGAACAGTTCTTCATTACATCAACATTTCCCATATAAACAAATATCATTTTATTTGTGTCTGTATTTATTATGGAATATCTCATTCCTTCAAGAGGTTCTCATTTTTCAAAATTTAGGGAGGATCAAGCCCGAGATTTTATTCTGCTTCATGTGAGTAAAAACACTCACTTCAACTAAACTTAAGACAATTGACTGCATTCCATTTTCTGCTAATCATATCCTGGACTTCTCTTGTCCTAATTGATACAACATAACAAAAATAAAATCCAAAATGTATCTTCTACATGACAAAATGCAACGTACAAAATGCGACATATTTAACAAAAACAATGGTTAAACTGCCGGAACCTGCTGGTTTATTTCAGTCTCTACCTCCCATTATCTTGATTAATTCTGCCTTAACTCTCATCCGTATCTTCCGAGGCCTTCTATTTTACAACAATTGATCAAGTACCCGGAGTAAAAATACACTCCATAATGATAAAAGGTATGGTCTTCATCTTTTGACCCTTATCCAATCCCATTATCCCACTAGTTGCTAATGTTCATCAGCCTCTACTGCCATAAATGTTCACCAGTCTTGGTATGTATATATGATAAGACTAATGGCATGGACCAATCTTCTTGTTTGAATGACACACCAGCGTGCGGCCCATAATTCTTTCTCATCCAATCATTGCAAATGTTCCAGGTTATTCTCAAAGCTTATTACACTCTCGCAAGGCGTATACCATTTCGGAGTACTACAAAGCCATTATCAGGCTAATTGCACATGTGAAGCCTATAGTTAATTACACCCATGTGTAATATGAGAGTTCACATAAGAGTGACAATGATTTTTTTTTTTTGAAAAAAAAAAAAAAAACCCAACCCAATTATATTATCAGAACCGTCTCTTCACAGTGACCAACATCCCAACTGAGAAACAGTATAGCTCAGGGATATCAAACTCATTTCTGGTTCAGGGGCCACATGCTGTACAGCCTGATTAGATGTCAAGTGGGCCGGACCACTAGAATCACAACATAATTATCTATAAATAACAATAAGTCCATGTTTCCCCCCCTTGTTTTCTTGCAAATAAGTAAAAGAATATTTTAGAAAACAAAACATCACTAACATAAAGTGTTTCTGGATTTCTTCAAAATCTATCAAACAGGCCGTATTGAACCCCATAGTGGGCCAGTTTTGGCCTGTGGGCTGTATGTTTGGTATGGATGGATAGATAGACAGACAGATAAACAGATAGATCGATCGATCACTCGATGGATAGATCCTTTCGGGAAATGAAGGTGTGTGCTGGTTTACATTTACTAACAATCCTCTTGCAGTTATTTATTGAGCTTCATAAAGTATTAAGCAACCAGGCGATAATTATCTACATCATTCAACCCATCCATCCATCCATCCATTTTCATCCGCTTATCCGTTACCGGGTCGCAGGGGCAGCAGTCACCACCCAAATCACATTGCACCGTACCAACCCCCCCTGAAACTTCCTGCGGAGTGTACCAACTGCCCTAACCGGGATTCGAACTTGCCCATAAAAAACCCCTGAGGTTTCACACCAGTGACAGAGACATTGCCTCTGGGCCAAAGCGCCACTACATCATACAACTTAGATCCAAAAGGACGTAGACTACTCCTTCGAGATTAAGTTGTATAATTGCCTTGATATTGTGTTGTTGTGGGTCGGAGTTTCGGGCAACTTACACTTCAGTTTTGTTGGACTGTCGCCTGCAGGGAACGGTGTTGCCGACACATGTACCAGTTAAAGGGTCCACAGGTTCGACAATGACAAAAGGGCGCTCCTCCAGCGTGGCCACAGTCAGGTGCCTATAGTCCGACACCTGCTCCAGGTATGCGCCATATCTTGGCCACACAGGGTACCGCATCTGCAGGATCTCCCTTTCGTGAGTCCCGACCTGCAAAAAGTCGAAAATGAGGAACTCTTCATGAATGTAAATTGAGGACTACTTTGATTTAGGAGTCTGACAATGTTGGGAAGATACCGGCTAAGGAGACAGTGTTGAATATAGCAGGCTGAGAAAGTGCTTTGATATAATGTTGATCAGTGAAGAAGGGAGCCTTTAAGGTAGTGAAACCGATGAAGGCCAAAAAACCCGGAATCCTCCATGGTGAAGAACATGGCAGTGGTCCCCAACCTTTTTACGCCACAGACCGATTAAACGTCTGAAAACTATTTTAACGGACCAGCCTTTAGGATGTGGCGGATAAATATACAACTAAATAAAATGATACGACCAGCATAAAGACTGGTATTTTCTAAATATAATAATAAATGCCATAATAATAATAAAGCCACTGTGTATTGCGCTTGTCTTTTAATGCAAGAACGCTTTAAAAGACAAGCAAAGTAGTTTCGAAGGCTTCATTGCCTCGTTAGAGAGCCGCTTGCTGCGTATTACGCAGCACGGGCTAACAACCTAACAACCTGTCGTAATAAGTTCATATTTCAAGGAGGACTCCTGCAATTGTCTGTTAAATGCAGCCTTCTTTTCCTTTGAATATGTGAACTCTTCTTCTGTCTACTCGCTGACTCTTCTACCCTGCGCAAAGAAACTTTCCAAAGACATTTGTTTTTAGCTTTCCCATTAGCGGATGTCCAGGAATCTGGGAATTTTTCAAAATAAAACATTGTTAAGAATCAGATATTAAATAAAATGGAAATAATGTAAGTTATGCATTCTTTCGTTGTGGTCCGGTAAAAATGGACCCACGGACTGGTGCAGATCTGGAATGCAGGACCAACTAGAGTAGCCCAGTAGTGAGGCCAAGGGTTGGGGGTGTGAACATTTTCTCATGAACCAGAGGCAGAGAAAGTTTGGGAACCGCTAAACCCGGAGGTTTACTGTGCCAAGTTACAAGATGTCAACTGAGAAAGTAAGGTTTAATTTAGAGGTTTCCAAGGTGCGCCTCTCTTCAACCATTTCTGTAAGCCCCTTATACCGCTCGCCTGGCAGCTCAAGAACAAGCGTCATACACTCTGTAGGCTCTTGTGCCAAGCCGTTCAACTGGTTCACTGAAAAGTTGGATACTGCTGCATCCAGGTGCCTGCCGAACAAGCCAACTGTTCGCTGGCTTTTTCCATGACATGCAATCCAGCCAGGTACGGTGGAAGTGTACTGCTATGGGCATACTAAAATTGGTACGGCGGGCACAGTCACCCTCTCAGTTTGCTACGGCTCCCTGGTCCCGCCTGCATTCACCTTGTGTCTCCAAAACAGCACCAACGGGTTTCAGCTGATGATCGATGCATTACATGTTGATTTGAATTGACAACTGACCTTATCCCACAGTCTGTCTCTGTCAAGAGTGATGATGGTCATTGCTGGATTTATCAGGTAACCATTACTGTTGAATGAGAAGTCATTGTGCTCCCATGTTACGTTTAACATGTGCCTGCAAAGAAACAAAGATATTGTTGAGCATACTTTGATTTTGTATAGTACAGTTCCTGCACGTTTAGTCTGGAAACAAAACAGATTTGGAACCTGAAAAGTTGGTTCTCAGTGGAACCAAGAAATACCTGCTTCTTCCATGCGAATCGTGACTATCTTATTCTATGTTAAAAATAATACTAAAAAAGCAGCAATTGATGGCAAACAAAAAAAAAGTCTTTAAGTCTCTAATAATATGTATTTTCCTATCTGTACAAACCACTGTATGAGCTGCTGCCACCTAGTGACTGTTGGCTTGTTTATCGTTCAAGCATTACAGCAGCGCCACACTTCTGTCCAGCGTGTTCCATTGGTAGCCTCTCACGTCCAAGCACTTCTGTCCAGCGTGCTATGTTCCATTGGTAGCCTCTCACGTCCAACCTTCCTTCGCCCCGAGCGCCTCACTCCCCTTCCCTGCCCCACTATTTGAGAACTACTGCTATAGTCTAAGATTTGTGTTAACTTACAGTCTAAACATTGCCGTCATCATCTTAACTAAAGATTAGTGACTTTAAGATCTACTATCTGTCAATGTATTTGTTTAAAAATCCCTTTCTTGCGGTATGTCTTCTTGGAGGTGTCTACACCCGCTGCTGCCATAATCTGACTGCCATAATTTAATTTTTAAAAATGCAACTCTGCTGTGTAAGCTTAGCCACTCCTCCAGCAGAGGTGTGGAAAGCCTGCTGGGAGAACAGCGGCCGATAGTCTGGTCAGTGTGAAAAACCTCTCTGAACTGCTAATCAGCTCACCTGCCATGTTCTCATCCCATTAGCAGGTGAAACACCTTTGGTTATTCAAAACACAGCTAGCCAAGACGGGGGAAGATGAAGGTAATAAGGAAAAGCCAGATATGACAAGAGCATTTTTTTTTTTTGACAGGATCAATATCTTAAGATTCGTTTCATGATATCTGACAGCAGAAGAAGGAAGAATTATTCATGACAGAGGAAGGAGAGTAGTCTCTGATAATGCCTGCGTGTCCTTGTCGACCATCTATTACACCTTAACACTCTCCCGGGGTGACTTTGGCCTGAGTGAGCCAAAAGCTGACGCTAGTGGAGTCGTGTCTCTCCGACTGTTTACTTTGCTGATGAAAACATTCTACTGAAAAAAACAGCGAGCAAGGTAGCATTAGCCTTGCGTCTCATGATATGGATGTATCTCTGCGTAAGAAAAAAAGAAAAAAATTCTCTCATAATTTGGGGAAATTTCATAAATGAGTTTGAGCACTTAGTGTGGACTGCTGTCCCTGATGGGAATTGCTTTATTATCTTAAAAAAAGGAGATTGAAGTCCTGTCTGAATCTTATTTGTAGGACCAAGATTAAATACTAAAATTTTGGCTGCAGTACCAGTGCTGGCTTGCAGAACCTGGCAAAAGATGAATTACCCGATTAGTCACATTAATGATGTAAACTCTTATTGCTTATTGATTAGACTCACATCTAATATCTCAAAAAAATGTCAATTTTTTTTTTAACTTAATCTCTGTACCTGAAAGATACTTTTTTAATCTCTCTGTTTTATTGGCTTCAAGAGAGAAACGAGAGTGAAAGTAAGGCCTGGGGATGGGGGTTGGTTACCACCTAAATAATTCACAGTCTTATCATCATATCATAAGCTGCAGTCAACCAAATGGTCAAAAATATGTCAGAAAAGGCCAGTCTTGCATTTGTAAGAAAATAAAATGGCATATTGGTTTCTTGCGATTTGTTAAAGAGAGGTTGACAGAACTTGTTTGGCAGCTAGGATGCAGTACTTGTAGTATACATGACAAGGCCTAAGGTGGACATAGCTGTTGGTGCATACGGGAAAATCAATGACCTTGAAAAAACATAGTTCCTGTTTTGTGGCAGTACTAGAACCAGAGGTGGGACCATGTCCTTGCTTTGCAAGTCATAAGCAAGCCTCAAGCCTTTGCACTCAAGTCCGAGTCAAGTCTCAAGTCAAGACAGGTAAAGTCCGAGTCGAGTCCAAGTCAAGACTGAAAAGTGTCAAGTCAAGTCCCAAGTCCATACGTTTCTGTTTCGAGTCCTTTTAAACAAAATAATAATATATTTACACAGATCACTTTAGGTTTTGGAGAAAGTATCAAGTCTTGTCGAGTCAAAGGGCTCGAGTCCAAGTGAAGTCACGAGTCATTGACGTTAAAGTCCAAGTCGAGTTCCAAGTCTCTTTACGTTTGGTCAAGTTGAGTCTAAAGTCATCAAATTGATGACTCGAGTCTGACTCGAGTCCAAGTCATGCGACTCGAGTCCACACCTCTGACTAGTACTATTACCAGAAACTTAGTTAAATTCAAATAAGGCTTTATAAGTGCAGTTTGCTTATCCGGATTGTTAAGCTAGTTAATGTACATAAGTTACCGTAATTTCTGGACCGCTACTTTTTTCACACACTTTGAACCCTGCGGCTTAAACAATGATGCGGCTAATTTATGGATTTTTACTGGCTAACAAAGTTCATACCACTAGCGATAAATGACTTGGTAGGCTACTGTGTGTTATACTAGCAGCATATGTAGCTAACGTTGAGAGCAGTTTGAGCCCTGTCATGTTGAAGCGTGAGTTGTTAAAACACTGTTTATGTTCTGTTGTGGTCAGTGTGGCTGAAAATAAAGACCCCAACTTCCCTGTTTCTGTTTACCTCTGCTGAGGAAAAGCATAAAGTGAAGGGAGTTAGCCCAGGAGCTAATGTTATCATTTATAGTGCTTTAACTATAGAACATGATCAACCTGGACGGTTGCATTTTATTTTCTATTTCAGCTTTAGGCATTATTGAGCAACTTTTAGAGATTTCTAAACCTCAAAATGGTTAAAGTGTAGGAACTGAAGTAGCTAATGCTAATGCACAACAGGTGATTCTTGTAGCTATCAGTGAACTCTGAAATCCTCAGACATACACAAAACTAAATTCCAGAGTGGGAGATGAAGCAAGTCAGGAAACGGCTAGCTGGAAATGGCAGTGAGTCACTACTCCTTCATTGTTACAATAGTGTTCAGAAAGGGACGAGATAATGGTGGAAAAATTTGTGACTTTGTAATACGGCTGCGTAAAGCGTTGCTAGCTAAATGGGCTAATGCAGGAAATTGTTGTCAGACACCACTGCACAGGACGATCACAACAGCAGACTTGACAAGATCCCAGTACTCCCGGTTTGGGAGTGCTGGTGTTGAGCAAGAATCGAGCAGGTCTTAGTGAAGTAAGTGACGCTACAATCTTCCGCTCCAGGCTACAACAAAGCTTACTCCTCTGGAGCAAAGGATGCTATGCTTTAAGGACCCTTTGACAGACTAAGAACTTCATACTAAAAACCCTGATGGCAAAATGAGATCTGGTTATTGCCAATAATAACTGGACTGCTATACCACACACAACTAGAGCAAAAGGAGCATAAATCCATCCATCTTCATCTGCTTATCCATTTCAGGGTCGCGGTGGCAGCAGTCTCCTTGATCGCCACCCAAATCACACTGCAACGCAGCAGCCCCTCGTAAACCTTCCTGCGGGTGATGACTGATACGATATTGCCCAGGAGGTGAACCCTGGGGTTCAACACCAATGTAAGAGACATTGCCTCTGGGCTCAAGCGCCACAGTATGACTGTGCAAACAAGTTAAATTCAGTTTAAGTGCACATTGAAAATGAGAAGGCAGAGAGAAACCAGTCATTGTGCAAAGGGCTTTTTTCACAAGTGTGTGAGAAAGTAAAGAACATTTTCGCTCATTCCCTTTTTTTCCATTTTTGACCATAGAACATCACTAACATTTTTGTTGGCATAGGGTTGCATTGTGATACAAAAATAAACATTTGCGTCATGCAGAGTTGCAGTACTGGTAAGCATCAATCAGAAACTTTTTGAAGGTTTTGTACATTTTAAAACCCAACATTTGACCTTACCTGAATAACGTGTCGTTCACAGACGATGGTTTGATAGGGTTGAGGCAGTTGCTGTGGACCTCAGGAATGAAGCCCCACTGTTTACGAAAGCTCTCCACGCCTTTTACCACAATGGCCACCCCGTCTCTCACCCGTTTCCTCAGACTTATCCTCCATCTATCAGGTATGATGCTGATAAGGCCTACGGGGAAGCTGTCTGGAGGAGCGACATCCAGGTTACCCACCGCTAGGCTGGAGATAATCCAAATGTATCCGGGGCCGGAGAGGCCGGCTTTAGACGCCATGTTGAACATGTAGTCGGCCTCGTTGTGTGAGCAGTAGACCAGCAACACCTGGGTGTCGATTTGCTGTAGCAGCCTCTGCACTCGGATGTCATTCATGCCGTCGGCAGACATGTCAAAGGTCAGCACATCCTGCAGGTCCCACATAAAGTAGCTGGTGTCGGCAAAAGACTTGATATAATCCACGTAGGTCTCATAGCCAGGGTACAAGCTGGTTATGACCACGAAGCTGTGCCAGTTGTACTCCTCCATCACTTTAAACATGCCGTTCACCTGCTGCTCGATGGACGAACCAAGCTGCAGGAAACTAGAGCCTTCACCCTGGAAGTAGAGTAGAAACAACTTTTTTTTTTTTTTTTACTACTTGTCATTGTGACACAGCACACCACTGCACACAACGAAATGTGACCAAAGTGAACAGAGGCCTCAGTGGTAGCGCCGAGGGTATGTGGGGATGGTGCCATGCTCAGAGCACCTCAGTGGTAGCTTGGGAGCTGGTGGACTCGAACCTGAAGCTTTCCAGACCCAAGTCCGCTTCTTTAACCACTAAGCCACCACTGCCCCAACTTGATCTTGACTCTGGAATTTTTATTAGGGATGTCCGATATTGTGGCGCTTTGGCCCAGAGGCAATGTCTCTGTTATTGGTGTTGAACCCCAGGGTTCACCTCCTGGGCAAGTTCGAATCCCGATTAGGGGGGTTGGTACGTTCCAGTGGACTCACCTCCTGCAGGAAGGTTTGGGGGGTTGGTACGGTGCAGTGTGATTTGGGTGGCGACTGATGCCCCCGCGACCCGGTAACGGATAAGCGGATGAAAATGGATGGATGGATGATATCGGTCGGCCCATATTACGTACGTCCCTATTTCTTTTCTTTCCTGTGTTTTCTTATGAATTGCTTCTTTTTGCCTTTTTGTTTTCATCCTTTTGGTTGTGCTGTCGCTTTTTTTCTAGTTTATATGTATGTATGTATATAAAATTTTTATTTGAAACATTTGGATTATTTTGAAATATCAATATCCAAATATTGTAATTTTGGTAGTTAATCTGCATTTTTTTTAAAGAATACATTTGATATATATATATATATATATATATTTTAAAAATCATGCAAATTTAACCAACCGCCACTCCATCCATCCATCCATCCATTTTCATCTGCTTATCCGTTACCCGGTCGCAGGGGCAGCAGTCCGTGACCGCCACCCAATTCACACTGCACTGTACCAGCCCCTCATGAACCTTCCTGCAGGTGGTGAGTCCACCGGAAGGTACAAACCTCCCTAACCGGGATTTGATCTTACCCAGGAGGTGAACCATGGGGTTCCACACCAATGACAGAGACATTGCCTCTGGGCCAGAGCGCCACCACCCGTCACTCATTATTATTATTATTCTCAGCGCCATCTCTCTTAGGCTTCATATTTCCAGCCTGTTGTTGTGAGTCTTGTTAAGGCACGATCTACAATTTGTATTCGTTTTATCTGTCTAATGCATCAACATTGTCAGTTTCAAGCCCCAGTTTTTTTTACACAGATATACGAGTTTAATTTCGAAAAGAATGTCAGCGGCTCTACGTGTCCCTGATATACACGACCGAAGTGTCAAGTGAGCCCTTGCCGGATGACTGCTGGGATTGGCTCCAACCTTGCCGCAACGCTGAAAAGGATTAGGTGGTAGATGAAGATTGAATGCATGATATTGATTCTTTTTTTTTTTTTTTTTTCTTACTTTACGTCAGGGCCTACATCTGTTCTGGACTTTTTGTGATTGCTTTCCCTTGAAAATGTTCCTTCAACTGTGTCTAAAGAGCTTTTTCTAGCTACGTTTTCTTTGCTCAGTTCCACCCCCCCCCCCCCTCTCTCCTTCTCTCTCTCTCTGTCTCTCTCTCTCCCTCTATCAATCCATCTATAGCGCTCTGTAACTCTGACTTCTGGCCACAACCCCTTGCAGCAACATATGTCCACCTTACTGGTACCCAGCAGGAAGTGCCTGCCTTTTCCTGCCCACGTCACACAGGGCCCAAACACCAACAACAAACACACATTCTCACACACACACACACCCACACACACACAGCAAGAGAGAGAGAGAAGAGAAGATGTACACAGACAAACACAGACAGGAATTTAATTTTTATGGCAATAAAAGCCTAAGACTATTGCAAATATTTGAAAATATATTATATATAATATATAAAAAATTTATATATATATATAAAATATATCTGATTTTTTCAGATTATTTTGTCACAACAACTCGTTGTTGTTTTTGTGTTTTGTTACATTTCAAATCGACCTCATTTTCCAAGATAAACTCCGCAGGGCAAACAGACGACCCGAATATTTTCCGAATTTATTCCCTTAAAGTTCAAATACAGTCTTTGTACATTTCGATAAGAGCTGCCTTTATTCCTGACCCCATCCTCTCACTGACCTTATGTGATAGGACAACAGCGGACCCTCCGCTGGTGCCCACGATGGGCACTGCAGTCTGAGAGGAAATGAAGTCCAGAATCTGAGCCACGGCCTCTGAGCCAACATTGTCCTCGAAGACCACGCCGTGGACTCTGTAATTGGAAAGAGTATCGCAGATGCGGGTGAGCAGCGCCCGAGGATTGGTGTTGTTCACCAGCACAGTGATGGGGTTCACTTCCAGGGGTAGATCGATGAAGTTTTCCCGGCTCAGGTGCCCCTTGATCTCGCTCTGGTAGGTAGAGCCACTAAAAACTACCGCCACGTTGACCGTGGGTGACAGAAACGTTCCGAGTGGTGGTCCGGAGCAGCTGGGGACATTGAAGAGCATCAGCACCACTAATGACAATGGGGCCAGTCCTTGGGGCCACCAGGGTAGGTCACTTAGGTAGACCAGACGAACACCCATCACAGTCACCTGCGGCCTGTTGAAAAAATTGGAAACAATTGTAGGAGGTTAAGAAGAGCGACAACATAATACATTTCTTTCCATGATTACGCAACAATGTGGCGCTTTGGCCCAGAGGCAATGTCTCTGTCATTGGTGTGGAACCCCAGGGTTCACCTCCTGGACAAGTTCGAATCCCAGTTAGGGCAGTTGGTACCTTCCAGTGGACTCACCACCCGCAGGAAGGTTTGGGGGGTTGGTATGGTGCAATGTGATTTGGGTGGCGACTGCTGTCCCCGCGACCCGATAAGCGGATGAAAATGGATGGATGGATGGATGGATTACGCAACAAATTACAGGAGATAAGGATAACGTTAGAGCACTGGTTCCCAAACCTTTTCTGCTGCCCCCACCTATGGGTCAAAAAAATTTGTATGCCCCCATCCAATACACATTTTTTGTTTTCAGACTTTTGCAGTGATGCATTGGGCGTTGCCAGATCTGCTATGCGCAACAGCAAAAACGAGAGCAAGAATTAAAAATAACAGCGTCCTTTACAATATTCCATCCATCCATCCATCCATCCATTTTCATCCGCTTATCCGTTACCGGGTTGCGGGGACAGCAGTCACCACCCAAATCTCATTGCACCGTACCAACCCCCCTGAACCTTCTTGCGGGTGGTGAGTCCACTGGAAGGTACCAACCGCCCTAAGATTGGAAATAGTTCTTTTTTTACCTACATATAATTACATTTATCACAGATGTATGATGCATTGGGCGTTGCCAGATCTGCTATGCGCAACAGCAAAAACGAGAGCAAGAATTAAAAATAACAGCGTCCTTTACAATATTCCATCCATCCATCCATCCATCCATTTTCATGGATGCATTGCGTGTTGCTAGATCTGTTATGCGCAACAGCAAAAACGAGAGCAATCCCCTAACCGGGATTCGAACTTACCCAGGAGGTGAACCCTGGGGTTCCACACCAATGACAGAGACATTGCCTCTGGGCCACAGCGCCACCAACTGCCACTCATTATTTCTTATTCTCAGCGCCATCTCTCATAGGCTTCATAGTGCCACTCCAAAATATTTGTTAAACAGTAAAATTGTTCCAAAAAATATTTGTTAAACAGTAAAATTGTTTATTGGAAATAGTTCTTTTTTTTTTTACCAACATATAATTACATTTATCACAGATGTAACTTTAAATGACACAAAATAAAACATATGGCAAGGTGGATCTGTGCATTAAATAAAGCAGACTAGAGGGCAGGGGTGTCAAACATAATGCCCGTGGGCGAAAACTAGTCCGCTAACACTGCATGTTAGCCCTGTTTTGTCAAATGATGATTCATTAAATGTGAATGTTTTGGAATATACTTTACTGCTTATTTGAATAAAAACACAGGAGAAAAACATGGACTTGGACATGGACCCAATTGACATCTAATCAGACTGTATGTGGCCCCTGAACCAAGAGTTTGACAAACCTGCTATAGAGTCTTCAGACACGGTCGCTGTATGTTAATGTATGTATAAATATACATACATTAACTTGAGCATTTTCCATATGTTTTTTTGCTTTTTCTTCATATCTGGCATAAGAAAGTATTCTCTAAAAGCAAGATATATTTAATCATCTAAAAACCCCTAACCAACCAATGAATGATGACAGTGGAGAGAGAGAGAGAGAAAAAAGGCTTCTTGACATGAGATAAATCTCTGGCAGATACAAGCTCAAAGTGTGCAGCCATCTGCCCCTGCAAGTGAGGGGTGAAAGGAAAAAAAAACAAAAAAACGAAGAATGCAGAAGAGGTGCCTTGAAAGGGAGAAGATGGGAGAGGGAGGTGATGAATAAAAGTAACACGTGAATTCTGTAAAAAAAAAAAAGGGGGACAGTAATAGATCGGCTTTACGATTTCTGTAAGGACCCCGATCCTGGTGGTGGGTGGGGGGGGTTTCCATTGGAATTATGGTAAGCTAGACATCAGTGTACCACTGCTGTAATGCTTGAATGACAACAAGCCTCCAGCTACTAGGGGGCAGCAACTCATACAGTGGTTTGTACAGATAGAAATATACATGAAAACATTTCTGTCCTCAAGTGGTGGGGCATGACATAAATTAAATTGAGAACCATTGAGTCGCAGGGACCTCGCGCAGTGATGTGCACGATACAAATAATACTTTCACTTCAAAACTTTTTTTTTAGCTCACATCATCTGGGTGAAACCCAGGCATTGCATTATCAGGTTTTCATTATCGGAGAAAAAAACCAAACAAAAAACGATAATGGTTCTTATACCGATATTACATAATTAAGCTAATACCGGCATCCCTATACATAGCTAGCTAGCATGCTAGTTCAACAGGTTTGACCATCTTAGCAGCACAAATCCAACTTTTGAGAGCCAGGCTACTTTTATAGGTGATGTTCAAATTCAATTTAAAAAGTGCCCTCTGTCTGAACGGTCACGAGAAAAAAACGTCACAGTTCTCACGGCCTGGCATTACACAGCAAGGGCAAATGTAAACGAATGGACCAAAGAAGCATAACAGACCATGTGGAACTACACAGTGTAACGAACAATATTACAAAGTAATTCATCCTCGCTCCCCAACCATGGAGGTCTCTTAGTCGCTTAGGACGAACACCAGAGAGCAGCCCGCCACGGCGAAAGCTGCGGGCAGGACGGCAGTCTCTGTGCGATCGAATGGATTGTCAACCGCCAGTCCAATAAATACTTTGCTCTTATTAAGCTAATAACTAAGAGCTTAAAATAATTAAGTTTTTTTTTAAATAGAAAATTACTCTAGCAGAAGCTTCCAATGGAATATGGCACCTTGGACAGAAGTGTGCCGCTGTTGTAATACCTCCAGTCTCTAGGTGGCAGCAACTCATACAGCGGTCTGTGCAGATAGGAAAATTCTCTCAAATTCTGAAAAGTATTTCAATTCGGTGGGGTCGTGGGGTTTCTGTCTGAAGGGAAAATAATTGAGAACCGCTGCTCTACAACAACCAGCGTAAGCAGTTTGACCTTGAATTCTCTATCGGATCATTATCCCAAGTTTTTACCCTAAAAAAAAAATACAACTGCGTAATAATTTCCAAGTTTTTACCCTAAAAAAAAATACAACTGCGTAATAATTTTTGAAGAAAACGAGGACTTTTTTTTATATTTATTGAATTATCTTCGGACACCTTCAGTATTTATCCGACCTCCTCTTGGAGCCAAGTGCGGTACAAGTGTCCACATGTGTTTGTTCATTCCGTTCTTTCTCAGCCCTGATAAAGGGAATGTTGTAAAAGAGATTTATTTCCCCCCATATTGACACTGCCTGTTTAGTATGTATGACCTGAGCAGCCTGGGCTGTTTGATATGAGAGCTGAGTTTCGCCCCTTTGTATCGCACATGCTTCATTACTTCGCCGACTGTTTCTCTGTAAAACAGTCAAACCTGGTTGTGGATCTTACAGTTTGCTTTCAGTAAACCTGAGTAAAACCACTGTTTAAATGACTATTAATGGTGTGTTTTTCACAAAAAAAAAAAAAAGGTCTGTTTTCTTGGATGAGTGGCCGGCTTCGGTGTCACCTCCTCTGTCATCGCTCTAATCCGGTTAATGATTATGAGGCCGCAGTGTTGGTAAATACATCTGGCTGAGCAGCCAGGTCTCATCACCGCCGTGTTTAATGAGTCTGCGTCTACATTCCAGGCACGATGTCTCCTTTTGCTGCGTTCGGTGAAACGACGAGCATCTGCTATCCTCTTCTCGGTGATCAACCGCTGTCCGACGATGGTTGGTAATACGAGGTAGATACAAATGATTCCATTATTGACCTATGTCAATCTTGTTCTCTGTTTTTCGGAATGTTGCTATTTTACATAATTCCTCTGCAGCCCTCTACAGGTCGGGAAGGTTACGGGAATTCCTCTGCAGCATTCCAAGCCCTCTACAGGTCGGGAAGGTTACGGGGGTCGATAGTCCCTAATCCCAAATTTGGTTGCATCAGGAATTGCATCTGATGTTACAACTCTGCCAAATATGCCATTAGCATATTGACCTAGATATGGAAGTACTGGTTTATCCCCTATTGTTCATATTCACAGTTTGTCTTTGAAACTTTTATTACGGTTAGGTCTGATACAGTTAAACCAGTGGTTCTCAAGTAGTGGGGCGGGCCCCTTTGGGGGGTTGCCGT